AGTTCATCGATCATCGCGAGTTGTAGCGTGGAGTCGCGAAGTACGTGGCGTTCCGAAACACCAATAGATTGGGAGCTGTACTCTGGAAAGCGGTCGAGTGCTTTCAGGAAGCTGTCGCACAGTATTGCTGACAGGTGAGGCTTGTCAGATTGTTCCAACGTGTTATGTGATCTCCGACGACTGTAAAAGGTTATTAGAGCTCCTGATTACATGGCTAAATAAAGGTGTGTTTCGATACTTCATCAAGTGTCGTCGTTATTTACTCCAAATCCACGAACCTCGTACGAATGTGAACGAAGAAAATAACGCAAAAACTGGTGTCAGAAGAAGAAAGGAAAAATGTAACAATATGTATCATTTCTATTAGTCATCTTCAAGAGACAGATTAAAGGAATACTTATTCTGAGCATTACACAACATTTACAAGTATTATTATGTATGTCACATTACTGAAGAAAATATACTTATGAGTGGATGTATAATTTTAGTTTTATTATAACAAAGAGAACACAATAAAATTAGTACTTTCTTATACTTTTCACTATACTAAAATGAATCAGTACAATTTCAGCACGAAAATACCATACATTTCAACTAAATTATATTATTTTAAATGACCTTATAAATTCCAGTTACTCACGAGATACAGAAATAATTACATTCTTAGTTAATAATACTAACTTCAATTCAGTTCTTTATAGCACTTTCAAATTCTAATACGATTCTTTTCTTTAAGTCCAAAATCTGAATATCCAATATTTGGAGTGATCTAGCAATCATACCATTTGGAACAATTCTTTCTTTTTTTAAAGGAATTTTTTCCCCTTATAAGGGTCTAGGAATCATAAAAAATGAATAAATAAATAAAATAAAAATAAAAAATAACATGCCGAACAAATACTAATTCGGAAATCAAACAACAAAAATCAGCATTATATTTTCAAATTTTCACAGGACTAGTTTCGATGGTTTTACCGAACCACCATCCTCAGCTGCGAAAGCGCAAATGAACAACTCTTCATTTGCCCTTTTGCAGCTGAGGATAGTGGTTCGGTAAAACCATCGAAAAAACTAGTCCTGTGAAAATTTGAAAATATAATGCTGATTTTTGTTGATATCTCAATCATCAATCTATTAATGACAGATATCAGTAACACATTTTAGTTTCGTGTAGTGATGATTCAGGGAGAAAAAAAAAAACTTTATGCAAAATACCTTTTACTTAAGAAAGAATATTTTTTAAATAATTTCTACATATCATCTTACTAGATTTAAAACTGATGACATAAAATCTGGAAATTTGCAAAATCCAGAATGCCCGAAAATTCTGGATCTTAGACTTATCTCAGTTTTTCACATTTTATTAGCATTTTCTCAACAGATAAGTTATGCTTTCTTTTGGTTCTGTTTATTGAATTATATTCTGTCTATTGAATATAACATGGTTGAGCTCCTCTATTTTTTGAAAAATTCTTTTCTTCTTGAAGGAAAGCCTGTGTCTGATTGCCTTTGAAATTGGCAGCAAAATCTACACCAAACTAAGGTTGATTTTACGCCTAGTTTTAAAACTGGCCATTTAGCTTAGGTAGATAGATCTAATAAAGAAATCGACATTGAATCCGTTTCAACCTCCATTTGATAAACAGGGGTGAAAGCACTGTAGAAAGATAGAGGACTTCTATTACATACATACAATTTCTCTTTCACAATTTTCTTAGACTTAAATCTGCACATCATTGGGTATGATGGTGGAAACAGAACAGCAAATTTTACTTACTAAACCCGCGGGAAGGCGCGTGGGGTGTATCATACCCCACCCTTACATAAAAGTTGAATATTCCTAACTTGAGAAACTGAAATTCTGTGCTGCATTCAGTAGTTGTTTCTTTTGTGGTTGACTTTCAGACACGCTTTTTTTTGTTGTGTGTTTCAGAAAAATATTTTCGGTATTTTGTTGGAACTGGGGTATGACACCCCCACGCGCCTGTTGCGGTAAGTGTTTTTTCTGACCAAGTTAGTTCGAAATTTAATTCTATAGTGTAACCTTAAATATTTCTACTCGCAAGTGATTTTAAAGTACTTGACATTAAATTCTTGAAATTTCTAACACGTTATGGTAAAGGTAAAAACTGACTCCCTATGAATTGGGGAGATCACACCTGTGAGATTTATTAGAAATTTGAAAGCGAGGAAGAATACATTTCGGAAACGAAGATGAAAAGGAATTTTCTACACTGTTTTTGGTTTCGAAAAAGATAAAAATTAATTCGTAATGCCCTAAAAAAGGAAAAACTGTTCTTATGCTTTCAACATTATACAACGATCATACTATAGATGATACTATTGGAGAAAATAAAATGTCAGGAATTACATGTTTTTATAATATGACTAAAGGAGCAGTGGATATAGGGGATGAAATGTCAGCCAATTATTCAATTGTCCGAATAACAAGGAGGTGGCCAATGGTAATTTTCTTTCCTGCACTGAATGTTGCTGTAAATGCTTAAATTATATTACATTCAACTGCTAATCCACCAACCAGAAACAGAAGTCTGTTTTTGAAGGACTTAGCACTACAATTAATGAAAAAAAGTATTGAAGAAAGAACAGAGATAATACTTTCCAGAATTGATGTACTGCTGCAAAACAAAGCAGAAGTTTCGACGAAGAATTAAAACGAATACATAAAATTCGAAACAGCTAAGTTTGAAAGATGCGATGCATTTTTTGCCCTCACGCCAAGGACAGAAGAACGTGAATGAAATGTTTAAAATGTGAAAACATTGTGTGTCAAGAACACAAGAATGTATTTCGTTCAAAGTGTGAAGAAATAAAATGAGCATTGTGTATTGTACACAATGAAACTTAGAGGCATGATGTTTATTTTTCATTATTTTCATTTATCTTAATTTTAACTCTAAGATTATTTGGAATTAATTTTTTCAAACCCCAATTATTATTCACGTATTTATAATACACGAGAACACGGAAAACAGCTTTAAAACTAAATAAAACTATTTTTATCATATTTTAAATATTGGGGTATGTGATACCCCACACGCCCACTCTAGTAACTTTTCTTGGTGCGAATTCCGCCGGGTTAAATACAATAACCAAGCTCAAACAATCACAAGGTTTTTTTTTCTCCTCAGCTGCGATCTTGCATTTATGAATAAAACGTAACTCTTCATTTCTGCTACATGGTAAAAAATAGCCAGACAAAAAGGAACTGCATTTTCTGTTAGTTTAAAAATTTACCATTTTTGCTGAGAATGCTGCAAATTGAACTAAAGCTATTACCTATGAGGTAGATGGATGATGGCATTCACTCGGATGTGCCTCTAGGACAGGGAAATTTGTCAGAATTACTACAAAATTCTGAATTAGCCTCTAATATTAAGAAATTTAATTAAATTATTTAATTTGATTAGGATCAAATAAATTGGTTAAAATTTACTCTACGGTACCTCTTGGTGAATCGTTTCTTTTCTTTTACCAAGATCAGCACCAGGAAGGATTGCCATTAATTTCAAGATGGTGCTGATCCTTCCGCCCATTACACAAAAACAAAACAAGAAGTCTGACTTACATAAACTCGTTGTCCATTAACCAATTTTAGCTTAAAAAAATCAGATAATTGCACAAACTAGGCACTGTGCACTGCCTTAACTTTGTCCATGTACACATCCGATCTATTTTCACTTAAACAAAGTCAGGAAACTAAAACAAAGTTAAAACTATTATGTTAAACAGAAAAAATTTGCCGTGGTCTTAACACACAGAGACGAACAAATAAAAGAGAAATGCACAGAAAGGAATTAATAACCAAAAATACATATTTTTTAATATTAAACAGCAAATCTTTTAACAAAAAATAACAGAGACGAATAAATAAATGAAACATCAATTTTTTGACATACCTTTTTTTCACGTGCGTATGTTCACACTTCCTACCATCCTCAGCAATTGAATTAAATTTTCATCGTTTCAGTTTATATCTATTCGCAATTAAACAAGCTTTCATGCAAAAAATCAAACATCTTTCATCCATCATCCAACCCATACAAAAATAAAAAATTCACAATTTCATCATAATCCATACCATTAACATTCATCCTTTTATTTACCTCAGACATACTCAAATGATGGTACCAAAATAAAATACAACAATGTACGTGCAACCAAACACAGCAATTGAAAAGAAGGGTAAGAATAAAAAAACTATGGTCCATACGAAAGGATTACTATTACAAAAAATAGCCAAAATCTCAATTTATCACAACACATTTGGCGATATTCACAGAAATAACACCTTTTTAATGACAAAAACTAAAACTACAATTATCACCAAGATTAGTTTTGCCAACATTAGGGTTACCGAAAAACTATTTCACGCAGCGCAGCGGGCTTCCAGATTTCACAAACAACTAATACCACTTGGCGATTTTTACGGAGAAGAAACCAAGAGGTACTGTACAATAAAGATAGGTCTATTTTTTGCAGGGTGAATAATTAACCCTGCAAAAAATAGATAATAACATTTTTGTTATTATCTATTTTTACATATAACATTTTTGTTATCAAATTATTGGTAAATAATTTTGAACTTATACAAAGCAAATCCCTGAACTTTATTATAGTTTGGGCTCCATAACCAGACACATAAACATGCATGTGCAATTTAAACAAATTTAGGTACAAAACTGGGTAAACTGAGATGTAATTGAAATTTTTTCCATTTTTACTTTGTCCTGTTTATTTCACACAATGTTCAATGAGTGCAGAATAAGAAAATCATTATTTTTGAAAGTTTATATGGATTATAAAGATCTTTATTCATAATTGATTACATCATGTTTAGTTTTGTATATTTACCTACTTATCTATTGGTAAAAATATGAACATCCTCAACTTTGCTACATAATGTTATATTGAATTAAACTTTAGCAATGAGTTTATATATCCTCTAATTTTTAAGATGATGATATATTCCAGAATACCAACTTACCTGAAGAAGGATATCCTGTATTAGGATATCCTCCAGTGCTTGGATAGCCTCCTACATTAGTATTTCCTCCTGTGTTTGGATACCCTCCTGTACTAGGATATCCAGCTGATGAATTCATTGGAATTTGCTGGGGAAAAGGTGAACTACCTGGATACGAAGAAGTGTCACTTGGTGGATAATTTGGATATGGAGTAGAACTAGAATTTGGTGTAAAGTTTGGCCATGGAGGAGAAGTGACAGGATAATTAATATTTGGATATGGTGGAGATTGTGTAGACATGCTAAAAAAGAGATCAGAAAGATTTAGATATCATATTTGACTAAAAATTATGAAAATATATTATAAATTTCAGTTACTCAAATAATAACGAAATTTAATATCAAACTGCTTACTAGTTTTTTATGGTTACCAACACAGAAAATATACCAAAACTACATTGTGTAAAAATTTAATACATTTCAAAATTCTATGAAAACACAGGGCAAAAGTTCATTGAAATGATGCAAAGGTATTACATACTATTTGATATAACAAAAGATTTAGTACATTTTAAAGATATCTTATTATTGAGTATTTATAATTCCTCATAAGTACAGTTAAAAGTTACATAATATCTATTACATGATTTCAGATATTTGCAAAGCTATATAAAATGTATAAAAAAAAAAGACTGGATATTCAATAGTGACACTTTTGATAATGAAATGAAACTTTATCTAAGGTTTACTTCACAAATTATTATGTCAGTTAATGAAAACTACAACCTTGTTTCTTAACCAATTACCGATACTGTATTACACTAAAATATCATATTTGGGGAAATTTTAGTAACATAATTAGTATTCATTGGAGATTTATCAACGTATTTTTTATGATCAAATTCTCAATTACATGGACCCCAAACTTTTATATACAAATTCCTCAAAAAAATAAAGCAAAAATTCCGTGTCTGTAAAACTTACTGCATAATAGATCGTAGAATGTTATTTTTCATGCATTTAGAGAAAATGTGCCTCAATCGATACCTCAAAATGAGAAATTATTTAAAATTCATACATGAAATATAAAAGTAACAGCAAACATCAAATCTATTTTAAAAAGCTTAGGAAGTTCTTCCTGAATGTTAAATACTCTCTTAGAAAATGGTGCATTACGTTCGATGCACATTCCTTGAAACACATCGAGAAAAAAATGCTCTTAAAAATTATTAATTATACAAGAAAAAGAAAACATACTTAAAAAATTTACACTCTCTTAATCTGTTGAGAGATTGTGGGTAACTTTAAAACCTACTTATTGCACATTAATTCACACCCCTTATCACTGAACCCGTGAACCTAAATCTAAACCGAAACAAATTGACAGTATCTTTCACTTTCGCTGATTCGCGGAAAAGGGGCTCACATGGTTTGTTTACAAAATAGCCTTGCTGCCAAACGTCAATAGATGATTATCTAACTGAGCCAAACTTAAGCCCTTATAAAAAAAATAAAGCAAGTGCACCCAACCTGGAAGCATAAATTTATGAACCAGGAAGTGTAAAATAATATACGATTCAAAAATATTTAAAATATTTGCACCGAAACTTACTGAACTAAATCATAGTTTGTCAAAAAAATTTAAAATTTGGAGGTGGGAAAGTCCGAAACGAGTATTGAAAAGTTTGGCTGATAAAAATTCGCCTTGTATTAATTTAGTATGCTCATGTGAGTGCCCGATTTACATATAAGCTTCACAAGCTATAGCTTAGGCCCCCCCCCATTTTCTTGGGGCCACCCCTCAAAAATTGTACCATATCCCATATAAAAATATAGACTTAAATTTATAGAGCCCCATACCTCAAATAGCTTACCATGTCGTCAAATCTAAAACCAGTCCTGGCTTATGTTATAACTTGTTGCTACTTTATTAGGATAATTTTGCTGCATGGAACTCTGCAAATTACTTACTCTATTTTGCCTAAATTTCGAGGATCAAACAACTAAGTTCGTCTTCACTTTATTTATTATTATTTACGTTCTCCGCCCTTAGGCAAGACGCGGAAGAGAGAGATGCCTTCGAGCCAGTTTTCCTTAAGACTTTCTAGCCGAAACTGGCTTACACATGGGCAAAACCACGAGCGTTTGTAAAAACAAACGTAACTCTTCGGAAAATCTAGAAATAGAGTTAATTACTTTACACTGTGATATAAATCTTGTTCAAAGATTTTAAAATACAAATTTGATTAACTAGTACTTATCAAAAGAAGTTATGCTAAGTTACGAATGTTTGTTTTTGAGTACAATTTACATGAGAACAGACTTTTTTCCGTAGTTGGAAATTAATATGTCTAGCAAAAGATCCAGACTGCCGATGAGTACCTAGTTTGTAATGACACTTTTTAGCAATTTCCCTCCAAGATTACAAACTTCATAAAAAAATCGAAACGTTATGAGGTGGTGTAGCTGAAAGGTGTAGTAAAATACGAAGGTGCTTACAATAATTTACATGGAAATATTATTTTTCTGTTTTTCGTCATAGGCACAAAGGACAATTTGCTTTTGGTGAAAATTATGCATGCATGTGTCGAACACACAATTCTATTAATGTGAAGAGCGCAATAATTTGAAGCGAACATTTTCTATGCAGTGATTGTGAATGTTGTGAAATGAACTGAAGTAATAACTGGCGCGAGGCGCTGCTGTTCGTGACGTCAGCCTGCGTGCTGAATGTTTCGAATGTTGTGCTTGTAGACAGAACGAAAGCTGATCTCGGAAGAGTATAAGACTGTTTTGATGACAATAAAAAAATGGCGGTACTATTCCGTTTTGAGGACCGTCAAATATCGCCAAACTAGTGCTGCCAAAAATAGTTGCGGCAACCCTAACGCAAGAAAAGACGTGTAATAGTAAATAACTATTTAAGATTATTGTTTTAATTTAGATGAAAGGTTAATTTCATATAAAACTTTTTTATTGTTATAATTTATATAAAAAAGGCTAAATATAACTGAATGGAAGCATAAGAATAAATAAACTATTTCATATCATTATTGAATTTATATTAAAAAAGGCTAAAACAAGTTGAGTGGATTCCTGCATCGCTATTTTCGCTAACCGCGTTATCGCTAAAGAATAATTTCTCTCGTTAGTTGCTCAAACATAATTTTCTATCATGAATGATGCCTTTTCTTTGAAAAAATTCTATTGCAAACTTTTCGCCATGAGCAATATCCAAATTGTGAAATCCATAGGATATCAAAAAAATGATTTAAAAATTAAACTAGTATTTCAATGGCGTCTTAAGAAATATAGAACTATCTAAACTTATGCACTTAGAAATCAGTGCGTACGCTATATTTGGCTCGCTGTTTTAAATGGACGCGTTTGCTAGATTTGGCGCTTTTGCGCATGCATTTTCGTTGCAATTTTTTTAACGGTCTTCAAAACGGAATAGTACCAAAATGGCTTATTAAGAATTTTTGTCTTTATTCATAATGTACCTAGCCTAGAGTAGAGGCAGCCCGCAATTAAATGAACTGTTTTGAATATATTTGATTTATATATTTTCTGTGTTCTCCGCAACATAGTGGTACCTTCGGCGGGACCGGGTGCTATGAATTAGTGTTTCCCGATTGAACTTTTGATTTTGAACTTCGATTTTGAATATACTCTGAAGATGGGTTTGATCGCTTTAGAAGGCCCAAAGAAGAGGACTTAGAATTGCGTTTTCTCAAATCCTCAAGGAAAGCCGAAAGTGGAATTAACTAAAGAAGTAAGAGATTTAAAAATACTTTCATTTTTGAAGTGTCAACTTTGTGATACAATTCCAGAGACTTGACGTATGTCAGAGTGCTATCTCGCAGCAGATTTTGCAGACTGAAAGATGGTGAAAATTATTTAGTGATGACTTTGAAGAAACAGAGGATTACCGAGATAAGTTTCTAGAACAGTGTGCTCAAATAGATGCGGAAATACAAGCCTCCTCTTTTCCAAGTAACTCAGAATCGAGGAAATTTAAATTGCCTAAAATTGAGCTTAAAAGGTTCAGTGGTGAAGCTAAAGATTACCTGAATTTTTGGAGTCAGTTCCAGAAAATCCACGACGACAAAAGTATTGCTGGTGAAGATAAAATGCAGTATCTGTTGTAGGCCATGGAACCCAAATCGAAGGCAGAACGCCTAGTTCTTAACTTTCCGGCAACGGCAGCTAATTATTCCAAAGCCATCGAATAACTAAGAGAGCGCTTTGGACGCGAATATTTACTTGTGCAAATCTATGTGAGAGACTGGTTAAGCCAAGTGATGAAGAACGCTGTAACCGGAAGAACAAACACTGATCTACCCTTCCTTTATGATGAACTAGATGGAAAATTGTGAGCGTTGTAAAGTCTGGGGAGAACCCAAGAAAAATATGGTTATTTTTTTACCCCCATTTAGCGGAAAGTTGCTTACCAGAAGAAGTACTGATGCCGTGTGAAAGAAGCCGAAATCACGACTCCATTGAAACTAAAGGGACTCGATCCTTGCAACATTTAATGAATTTCTTAAAAGAGGAAGTTAAGGGGGAAGAGGTGATTCTACTCGCAAGAACTGGTTTCGCCTCCCAACAGAATCATCGGAAGAAAGACTTTACCACGATCAGGTAAAGCAAAATGAACCCGTAACAGCGTCAGCTCTAGTAAATCTTGAGTATTCAGGTAAGAGTATTCCGAACTGTAATTTTTGTGAAAAGAAACATTCTAGTGAAAAATATTACTCCGCAAAAAAGATGACTTTAGCTGAAAAACAACAATTGTTATTGAAAAAAGGTGCTTGTTTCTCTTGCCTGAAAAGAGCGATAGTAAATTTTGTCCTTTGAAGGGGACGCTAAGTTGTTCTATTTGCAAAAGTTGTAATCATTTTGATGTAATGTGTAATCAAACGCTAAAAAATAGCTATCAGATACGTGTTCCAAAAGAGAGTTCTCTTTCTAACTGCGGCAGAAGCGAAACTGTATTTTTGCAAACACTGTGTGTTCGAGTTTGGTGTCAAGGTCTCGAGAAAATTATTCGCTGCATAATTGATAGCGGAAGCCAAAGTAGCTACGTAAGGGAAAGTGTGATGAGTCAGCTTGACCCTTTGCGGCGCACTATACGTTAACGTCGGAATTTCAACAAAAAAAGTTGTATGCAGTCTATTTAGTCCTAAAGGAGTATACAGGTAAAATTTTGTAAAAATTTCACTTACCGTTTTAATTCTATGGGTGTTCCATGAGGTGGAACACTGCGCCGCCAGAGCTTTTAGAAGTGCGACTAAGCGAGCATTGCAGTGAAGTACGAAAATTCGTAGAAGCGTTTGTATAAGAATGAAAAAAACTGTGTATTATGGCTGTATACATGGTTTCCTGGACATATACTAATATTCTTGAATATATACGGATAAAGGAGATAAATATCTATATACACAAGTCCTATATACAAAAATATTTAAAAAAATTTTCCTATTTCTTTTAGCTTCGTGAAATTGTTCAAAGCAAGTCACACCTTTTGATGGAAGCACAAACCAACTTTGCCGGGGTTTTGCGTACAACTTATACAACTTGTTTTGTGCGGATTCTGCTTCGTGCTAACAATGTGCACATCGTTCTACGCGTACCCTACACCGGTATGTGTTCAACACTACTGCAACGTTTTTCCCCGGAAGCCTTTACTTTATGCCTGGGAGTATCTTCAGGTCTTGAAGGAAGTCGTCTCTTCAAAGTTATCTCTGACGCTTTCATGGCACAGAGGGAATACAGCAAATTTAAACGGAAATCTTTGGGCTGTAATCCGAGGGTAATTCATGAAACACTTTTAGCGCTTCGGAAAGAGTTAGACTTCTCCGCGCCATTTATGGAAAATTAATAATAAAAAAAATAACTACGATTAATATTAACAATAATAAAAAAAGCCTATAATATATACATACTAAAATAAACGGGAATGAGACTAAAAAGCGACAGCAAAAATTTCGCGCGGGTCTAAGTAA